GGAGAAATTTCCTGACAGTTAGAACAATCAATCAGTGGAACAACTTGCCTCCAGAAGTTGTGAATGCTCCAACACTGGAGGCTTTTAAAAAGGAACTGGACAGCCACTTGTTTGAAATAGTAAAGGGCCTCCTGCTTGAGCAGGGGGCTGGACTAGATGACCTCCAAGGTCCCTTCCAGCTCTTATTCTGACCTGTGATCAATGGGGGCAGTGGAATGCACCGAAGCTGCGTTTGCTGCCTCCCATTGTCACGCGATCTTCAGGCTTCCAAGAATCTTTCACAAAGCGAGCAAGGCCAATGGGGAGGAAGCCTGATTCACTTAGTGACCATGCGATTCACTTAACGACTTCACAGTCAGCTCAACTGATTGTTCGGTTGTAAAACCGTGTGCAGCTCATCTAACAACCACCCTGCCTAGCAACAGAAATTCTGCTCGCCATTTGGGGTCGTATGTTGAGGACCACCTGTATCTGATCACCTTCTGCGGCCCCCCCCTCCCCCCCGTCTCCAGCTGGCTTCCAACTAACATTGGGGGGGGAGGACGCTGGGTTCACTTAACCACTGCAGTCCTTGCCTAGAGACCCCGGCAATAGGTTGCAAAATTGGGCAGCGACCGCTGTAATAACGAAGTCACTAAATGAACAGTTGTAAGTTGAGGATTACTCCTATGCAACTGTGCGTAGAAAACGAAAACAAGAAAAATAAAACACACACAAACACACGCAAAAAAATTCAATACTCCAACACTGGAAGTTTTTCAGAAGAGATTGGACGACCCGTTGTCTGAAATGGGATAGCGTTTCCCGCATGAGCTAGAAGTCCTCAAAGGTCTGTTGTTCTGTTCTGTTCTGATAAATATATTTCAGGAAAAATAGTTTCCCTCCCTTTGCAAAAGAGACCCCCCAGGTTACGACTGCCTGCAACTCTGCTTACTAAACCAACCGGACATCTACCTAGGAAAATCCAACAGCAGAGTTAAACTTCAAAGCCTTTTGTGTTATCCAAGACGGTGTCGCTTTTGCTTTGAAGGTGACTGCTATTTTTTCGCTCACCTGTGTACACTGTGCACATCTGTGTGTGTCTCTGTGCACCTCCGCAGCCCTTTTGGTTCGGCTGTCTACAAAGGTCACAGGTTCCCTGCCCCCCCCCCACCCCAAAATTAATAGCCCACCCCCGGGTTTAAAGAGATGAATGGCAGGAGCTTCTCCGTGAGTCCTAATCAATATTACTAGTAAAATAAATAAAATACATAACGTTCCCAGGAAAGTAGGCAGGAATAGCACGGATTTGGTGGAGAGGCTGGTCAGGAGAAGGAAGGAAAGGAAAGAAGGGAGGGAGGGAAGGTGGAGGGAGGGAAGGAAGAAGGAAGGAAGGAAGGAAGGAAGGAAGGAAGGAAGGAAGGAAGGAAGGAAGGAAGGGAAAGAAGGGAGGGAGGAAGAAAGGGAGGGAAGGTGGAAGGAGGGAAGGAAGGAGGAGGGAAGGAAGGAAGCAAGCAAGAAAGGAAGGAAGGAGGGAAGGAGGGGGGGAGGGAAAGAAGAAAGGAAGAAGGAGGAAAGGAAGGAAGAAATAAAGGAAGGAGTGTTCCTGACTCAATAAGAAGGAAGAGACTTTTCACAGACAATTTTGTCAAAAATTCCACATTTAACTGGCTATTTTTTAAAGACAATTGAGACTTGCCAAGAGACCGCATGGGGTTCAAAGCTGAGCCACTGTGATGGACTTTTTAAAGACGATTTTTTTTAAAAATAAAATAAAATAATAATTTTTAATCTGTTTTTTCAAACACAACTGAAACTTCCAAAATACAGGACGGGGCTCCATGAGAAGAAAGGGACTGTTTAAAAAAAAATTTGTTTAAATTCCAGTTGGGTGTTTCCAAACACAAAGAGAGACTTGCAGGAAGATACGGAGGGCTGCCAGGGCTTATATCTCTATGAACTCTGTTGTCCTGGTCCAACTTTCCTGATCTGTTTTTCCTCCCCGCACCCACCCTCCCGCCCCCCCGGGTGACAGGGAGAATAAGCAGAGACTCACTTGTGCTTGGGGGCTCCTTCCTCCTCCTCCTCCCCCTCCTGGCTGTTGCCTTTCAGCAGCTTCACCTGCGGCGCCTCGCTCTCGTTTTGCTGGGGAGAGAAGGAAGGAGAGAGAGAGAGAGAGAGAGAGAGAGAAGGAAAAAGAAAGAAGAGAATTAACAGGATATGGGTAGTCCTCGAATTACGACCACACCGGAGCCTCCAAAGGTCTGCTGCTAAGCTAGGCGGTGGTGGGTAAGGGAAAGGTTTGACGACTTTTCTCGCCGCAGTTGTTCAGCGAATCCCTGCAGTCGTTAAGTGGGTAACATGGTCACTATGACTATCCTCGCCACAAGGGTGCAAAAAGGGGATCGTGTGACCTCGGGACGCCGCAACTCTCATAAATACCTGTGACAGAATTGGAAGGAGCCTTAGAGATCATCTACTCCAACCCCCTGACCATCTATCTATCCATCCTCTTTTTTTTGTCTTTCCTTCTCTCCCATGACTTCCACCTTCCCTTCTTCCTCCTTTTTCCTTCCTTCCTTGTCTTTACATCCTATCTTTCCTTCCTATCATTCCTTTCTTCCTTTCATCTCCTCCCCTTTCCTTCCTTCCCGTCTTTCCATACTACCTTTCCATCCTTGTTTCCTTTTTCTCTTCTTCCCTCCCTTCCTTTTCCTTCCCTCCTATCTTTCCATCCTATATTTCCATCCTTTTTCTCTTCCTCCCTCCCTTCCTTTTCCTTCCTTCCTTTCCTCCTTCCTCCCTTTTCCTTCCTTCCTCCCCTCCATCCTCTCTCCCTCCCCTTCTCCACCCTCCCTCCCTCCCTTCCATCTTCTCTTCCTTTCCTCCCCTCCTCTGACCGATCTCTCCACCAAAGGGGCCATACAGTATAGCCTTTATTGTCATTGTACATCATGTATACAATGAAATTGGTTTTAGTCTCACTGGTGCAATCCATACAACAAATACAAACAACACAAATAGCATAAGTAATTGGGGGGGGGGAGAAAGAATTAATTTATTAATGCTTAATGGAAAGCGGGGGCCCTCCTGAACACCCATGAAATCCGATCCTTTCTTCCCGAGAGGCCCCCAGATGAAAGCCAGGCGGCCATCAGGGACAGAGATAAGGAAGGCCAGAACCATCACGGATACCACAAGGTCACTGGGAGGGTTCCCCCTCACTTGGGGGTGGGGGGAATGGGGAGTAGGGCTGAGAGATCAGGGGGGTTGAGAAGAGCCGCTTGTTACACCCACCTCTCCCCTCCCCTCTGTCCAAGCACTGAGGAAGCAACTACACGCAGTCCTTGATTTACAACCTTTCGTTTAGCAACTGATGTTACCGTTGACAAAACTGGAATGTCCAGGTTTCACACTTACAATCGTTGCCCCTGGTCCTGTGATCAAAATACAGGCGCTTGGCGGCTGACTCCTATTTATGACGGTCACAGTGTTTGAGGGGGGGGGCACATGATCCCCTTTTGGGACCTTCCGCCAAGCCAAATATTGGGGGGGGGGGGGGGACGGACAGATTCACTTAAAAACCGTGGGACTCATGGAACCGCCGCAGCAATTCACTTAACAACTGTGTCAAGAAAGGTGACAAAAACGGGGTGGGTGGGTCAGAACTCATTTAACAACTGTCTCGGTTAGCCACGGAAATTTGGAGCTCCAGTATGGCCGTTAATCCGAGGAGTGCTTGCGGCACCTGTACGGATAGGAAAAAGGAGGGGTTTTTTTTTGCAAGTTTCCTCAATTTTCAAGCATTGCGAAAAAGAGAAAAAGACGGAAGGACCTTTTGAGTTACATCTCTGTGTGTGTGTGTGTGTGTGTGTGTGTGTGTGTGTGTNGGATGAGAGGTATCAGATTTTTAATGTATTTCAATATAAAAGACCTTAATATATAAGATCTTACGAGTTTCCTGAATTAGCCTACTGCTTGCACAAAGTTAAAATGGTGGTGGAGAAAACAACACAGCGTTTTCGCAGACACACACACTCACTCACACACACACACACACACAAACACACTCACTCTTTACGAAGCATTGTTAGATTAATTCCCAAGGCACAACTTGTTTTAAAACGTTATCTTATTCGCTCACTTTGAAGAGGTGAGGACTTCAACTCCCAGAATTCCCCAGCCAGCTGGCCAGCGAATTCTGGGGAGTTGGAAGTCCCCACCTCTTCAAAACATCCTTGAAAAAAAAATATGCATGTTTTTTAAAGAAAAGAGAACACAATTGCCGACACAATTGCCACCAAGCTCAACGTGACCGGTTGATTTGATCGATTGCAAAGGAAGCTAATCATATTTATAGCTTCTGCTATATTTAACTTTTGTTCCTGACTCTAGGGGGCGCTGCTCGTCTCCGTTCCAAAGCCGAGGAGCCAGCGCTGTCCGAAGATGTCTCTGTGGTCATGTGGCCGGCTGACACAACGCTGGAGGCGCACAGAAAGCTGTTTCCTTCCCACCGGTGTGATTTGTGTGCATTCGAGGTTGGCAGAAGCCGGGACAAGTAACGGGAACTCACTCCGTTACGCGGCGCTCGGGTTCCCTACCGCCAAACCGCCGACCTTTCTGATCGACAAGCTTAGCGTCTTTGCTACTGAGGCACCACGTCCCTATATGTAATATTTGTAACACGTGAGGTCTAGCTTATTATCCCCCCCCTTCTTCCTCCAAGCATGCACTGCATTCTGACGGAATAAAAACATTTCAAGCAACGGGGCACGGATGACCAATCCACTTGAGAAAAATGGTTCTACATGTGAAACCAAGTATGGAGTGAATCAAACGCTGAAACCCCGCGAGAACTGGGAATGGACGATGGGTTTCCTTACAATGGACCAATCATTGCAGGGCCCAAGAGGAAAGAGAGGTGGCAGCCAAGCCGAGAGACTCAAGTATCCCCTCTCTTCTCCCTATTCAATGGTTTTGGGCTAATGTGAATGTTGTGTTTTATGGTTCATTTTTTTTACTCACGTTTTTTCTTTTGTGTCTTGTCCTGCACTCCCTTCCCCTATTGTTGCAAGCCGCCCTGAGTCCCCTCAGGGAAAAGGGCGGCCTATAAATATTCAATAAACAAACAAACAAACAATAATAATAATAGAGAAAGTCTTCTAGGACGTTTGCTTTGCAATCGTGTTCATGTGGCACTTGTGTGGGTCTCCAGGATTCTCTGAGGAAAAAGAGGATGGACCCTCAGGGATTTCCCTCTCTGGAAAGAGCCTCAATCCGAGTCGCTGTCCTCCTGCTTGGCCGAATCTACGGCGGAGGCCAGCTCTTCCTCTTGGCCCCTCAGGCGTTCTCCTGCGAGGAGAGAAGGGGGGGGGGTCAAGCGGAGGGGCCTCCTGGGACCACAGAAGGGACCCTCAAGGCAGGTGGGCCTTCCTTGAGGGGGGGGGGCCTTCGGTGCATCCAAGAAACCCCCCCCCCCATTTCCCATCAAGAGCTTCACTCCTTATCAAAAGAGCCGGACAACCAGCCACAAGTTCCCTGATAAAGGTAGTCCTCGACTTACAACAGTCCATTTACTGACCGCTGGAAGCGACAACGGCATCGAAAACGTTTCGACTCATGACCGTTTTTCACGCTCGTGACCACCGCAGCGTCCCCCGGGGTCGCCCGATCAAAATTTCAGACGCTTTGGCACCTGGCTCGTATTTACGACGGTCCAGGGGTCAGGTGACCCCATTTTGCGACCTTCTGACAAGCGAAGTCCACGATTCACTCAACAACCGGGGGACTACAACTGCATGAACTTAAGTTTAAGTCGAATCACTCAACAACGGTGGAAAGTTCCTAAAATGGGGAAGGGGGGGGGGGAAGAGACCCATTTAACAACCGTCTCGCTTAGCAGTAGAAATGTTGGGCTAGATTGTGGTCATAGGCCGAGGAATTCCTGAACTGACAACTCTGTTCTGAAGTTCTGATAGCCACAATCTTCTCATCATACCCATGTGGACACAATTTGGGCCCTTCATTAACCCACATTTGTGGCTGTTTGCAACACGAGATCTCGGTTTATGATGATTTCACCGAAAACCAACATTTTTCCAAAAACACGTGTCATATACTGCGCTGTTTGTGTTATGACAGCAGTCTTTGCTGCAACAAAAGGTTAAAAAAAAAAAACAACGGGGCTGGTCACTTGGTGTCCTGCTTTACGCCGACCATAATGGGGCAGGCTCCGTTACCGCCGTAAGTCGAGGACTATCTATATCACGAGGTAGAAATACCCAAAGAACTCGGAAAAGGGTAAAGGAGGAACAGATGCCAACGTTGGATGGGAAGGAAGGCTGGTCGGACGTAGAATTCGAACCACGGTGTGTCCCTCAGCGAATCGGCTCAGATCATTCGCATAATTGGCTTTGGGGTGGGGGTTGGCTGTGGAGATTCTCAAGTCTTCCGGGTCCCGGTTGTCCCAAAAGTGCTTTTTTTTCAGGAGGAAACTGGACTTTCTGGTTTTTCTTTGAAAATGTTTCGCTTCTCATCCAAGAAGCTTCTTCAGCTCTGACTGGGAACGGAAGGATTGATATTCCTTGCGGACAAAGCTGGTGATTTGCCTCCTTTTAGAGGGTCGTTGAGGCCACTTGGAGGCTTCTCTGTGTCCTCAGGGTCCCCTGGGTGGTTTTAAATGGGTGTGGGGCCTTCTTGGAAGTGCCGAAAGGACTCCTGTGTTGTAGACAGGAGACAGGTGATGTCGTATCCCCCCCCCTCCTTTGTTGAGAGAGGGTTCAATTTTGACACAGATGACCTCTTTGAACCCTCTTCCAAACCAAAGGCCCTCTCTGTCCAAAATGTGGACTTTGTTATCTTCAAAAGAGCAGCCTTTGTCTTTTAAACGCAGGTGGAAGTGCTGAATCTTATCCCGATGGGTTTGTTCCCCTACGATGGGCCACGCATTTGTGAAGTGGCTGTTTTGTTTCCCCATTGTACAGATCTGCACTATTTTGCACTGCTCAGGTGACACCGAGGACAAACCTCCAAATTCCCAATGGCTCCCTAAAAGGATGCGAATGACCAGCTTTGTCCGCAAGGAGTATAAATCCCTTTTTTTCCCCCCTCCACCATCCAGTCAGAGCTGAAGAAGCTTCTTGGAT